TTTGCATTGATGATTACGATATATCCAAGTAAACGTTTCTAAACATGTGTATGTACGTACATTTTCCCTTCACAGCTGGCTGAATCATATCGTTCATACCAATGTTGCTATGCTCGCTATACTCGATATGTTTACTTGCTTCCGTCAGTATCCAAGTCGCACGGCAGGACTCACGGGTACTATTATATTTATGGTACTCTATATAATTTGGATGCATATAGTGCGCTTTTTCTCCGGTCATTGGGTATATCCACTATTGGAAATTATTAATTTACCAATGCGATACTTAATGCTGAGTGCTTTATTGGGCTTCACAGTATTTTGCTATTTCTTGGGTGAATTTTTAAATAAAATAATTTGGAGTCCAGAGTTGCGATTGCTGAGAATGAAGAGTGCAAAGATCGAGTGATCTGTTACGTCTTCACAAAGGAGTTGGAAATACTATTAGACTTTCGCAAACTGAGAAACGCTTGAACAAGTAATTTTAATTAAACTTCAATTTTATTTTAGGTAAGTACCAAATAAAATGATTGGTATTTTTTTATTATACGATTTCGCAATTACGAAACAATTTTTCTTTGAGTATACATGCATACAAAATTTTAAGAATATAGTTTTGTTAATTGTAAAAATTGTTTAGTCTTAAGGCACTAACTAACTTACACTTAACAATTACAAGGTTTATGTAATTAACTATATACATATATGCCAGTGTACTGCACAAGCCGATTCATTTACGTTCTCAAGCTACTTGAAAGAAATACAAGCGCCACTATGATTCACACTTGTTTCAAACAACCCAATTTAAATCATAGCTTGAACGCAAACGAAAACGGTAGCAGCGTTGGACATACACCTGTTTGAAGTAAATCAAGTCCGAATATGAGTTGAAATTCAACAAGCAAGCCTAGCATTTACTTGCTTGCTTCGAACCAAGCCCAGTGAATACAAGTAAGCTTTCAGGTAGCTCGAAATGTAAGTAGCTCGCTGCAGTACACTGATACATGTCTATGCATGTAATTTTCCTGTATTAGTCACTTTCGTATTCATCACACCAGGTATTTTATATAAATATGTATACAAAATAAATATGTTTATAAGTCAGTTCAAGTTTGTAATATGTATGCATATATGTATATATGTATATTATTTTGCAAATTCATTATTCGTGTTTTGCGATATACGTGTGAGTATTATTCAGATGACAATTTCAAATGATGTAAATGCTGCAGGAAGTGCGCTTAGGAGTGTAAAATTTTATTATAGTAGTATAAAAGTTGAACCTAGTGTCTACTGATGTTTCAATTAAGTCTAAACATTATAATGTTATACTGTTTAGTGTAAAATACTCTTCCTAGGAGTAATTAAAAATCACACCACAGTGCATTTTAAAATAAGTACAAAATCAAAAAGTGATTTCTGAGATTGAAGAACGTTTAGATCAGCGGTTCCTTTCAGATCTTATTGAGCATTATATGTTTATATGAATGTATGTATGTATGTGCTCGCCCATTCAACTCTATTTCGATGGCAGCAACAATAATTTTAGTTTCTCGGATTCGCTCAACAACATTGCTTCCTTGTGCTTATTGTTGTTGTGCAACAACGTTTGCATTTCGGTTGCATCAACTGCCTCATCTGCATATTCACTTTTCTGGCGCACACCCTTTGCATTTAATTGTCGCATAGCCATTTTCAGTTCATCTTCGTCGTAGGATGTTAAATTGTGCGTAGCTATTTCAAAGGCATTGGCTTGTATACCCACATCGCAGCTAGTTTTGCTGCTTCGTGAATTTGGCTTGCCGGTAGATAGTCCGGAGTACGAGCTATGTAATGTTAAGACCAGTGGCAAGTCGAGTTCAGAGGATGTGCATGATGAAGTAAAGGAATCAGCAGCATCACAATTGAGATCTCGTGCTAAATGCAAATTCATATCGGAAATATTAAGAACATTTTCATCGTCCTTCTGCAATGCGGCGACTGCAGCGACATTCGAACGCCTAGAACTTTGTTTTCTTCCTTTGCCACTGCGTTGGGAACGCCGATTATTGCCATTGGCCATTACGGCCGCCGCAGCAACAGCAGCGGAACTGGTAGCCTGGGATTTTCGTGAATGACGACTGCGTGTGGAGTTGCGAGAATTTCGATTTGTGGCCGATTCATTAGACTGCTGCATATTTTTTAGTAAATTTTCTAACGCTATTTGTTTTTTAATATTGCGCTCATGAATATCTGTGTCTATTTCTTCGATTCGTGGGCCATTGCGAGGCTGTGCATCTATATTCCCGCCGTCGTTGTAGTCGTCACTTAGATCTTGCTTCAGTACTACGTCTAAGCGGGAATCTTGAATTTTGAATGAAGCATGAGAATTGTCCGCATCGGACGAGCTGCTTAAGCCTTGCTGCTGGAGGAAAGGCATTAAGAACTGGCCGTTTTTGGCCAAAAATGCACTGATATCAGCGGGATCCAAACCTGTAGGGTAACCGTTTAATTTTTAAATCCAAATTATAAGCAATTGTATGTATGCATATACTCACCCGCATTTGCGCTGCGCCGCTTCATCATTTTGCTACCATGCNTGAGAATTGTCCGCATCGGACGAGCTGCTTAAGCCTTGCTGCTGGAGGAATGGCATTAAGAACTGACCGTTTTTGGCCAAAAATGCACTGATATCAGCGGGATCCAAACCTGTAGGGTAACCGTTTAATTTTTAAATCCAAATTATAAGCACTTGTATGTATGCATGTACTCACCCGCATTTGCGCTGCGCCGCTTCATCATTTTGCTACCATGTGTATGATGCTTCTTTGTACTTTGATGGGCAAATAAACCGACTTTGTGACTTGCGTTCGGATATGTAGTCTTTTTCAAGGCAATGACTTGCGACTCAATGGAAGTGCTGCTCTCTCGACGTCCACTATATTTACGGCCAGAAGTGGCTGAGGATATAAAGTCGCGTCGTTTTTGTGAGCGCTTGTTCGTGGCAGACGCCTGTTTACTGCTGTGGTTGTGATGATGATGGCTGCTTCGCGAGCGCGAGGCAACTTTTGTTTTCATTTCGGCGATTTTCACAGATACCTGAAGGTTTATATACATTATACTTTAAAATAATCGGTTAGAGTAGTTTTGAATGACAAGAACGCACCTGAGAGTCCACAGAATTTCGTCGCGATTCCACAGAAACATGACGTACGCTAAAACTTATTTCTGAGTCAACGGAATTTTTTCGAGGGCCTTGACTGGAAGAGTTTGTGGTTCCCGCACCGGTGAGAGCCATGCGACGCTTAACAAATTGTGGCAAATAATTTGCCCATGTTGAACTAATTTCATTTGTTTCAGAAGAATTTAGATCATTTACGTCGAAGTTCAAACCTACAGGATCGGTATGTGTATTATACAGAGTAATAGAGAGCCTCCCCTTATCCTCAAACTCCTTGCGTTTGGCCCAAGTTTGGGCAATAACTTTGTGTTTTGGCATTTTAACATCCTCGGCGACTTCGTTACCACATTTTCTGGGGAACAAAAATTGCTTAAAAAAGTTGATAACATTTAGTAAAGTAACCTACTTTCTTATGTAACGCCGCCAAGTTTCTATTGATGAAGGTGTCCAGCACCATGTTGACATGACAATCCCCGATCCAAAGAGGCAGAGTAAATGCAGCTGCAACAAGGCAATGCTGGGCCGATTTTCAATTCTACACTGCTCTTCGGTTGAAATGCGGCAGCTGAGAGAAGAAACGTTGTTTTAAAGATTTTTTAGTGAAAGGAGTACCGAAATGCCAATAAATTACTCACATAATGAACATCCGCAAGCTCTCGGCCCATTGGTGGGAGTTTCGAAACTCATTTACGTGGCATGCAATGGCAGCTAGTATAAATAAAAGCGTAAATACCGAACAGAGCCCCATCCTCACAATAATTAGATGAATCTTATTGCTTGCCGATGCCGATTTAATGTCGTTTGCAAAGTGTTTTAATCCAAAAAGCATTATCATGCCGCGTATGACAAAGTAGCCACCTACCAATATAACGCCGCACAATGGTCCCAGCAATAAGCCAGCTCGCATCGGATGATTCAAATACCCAACAAAGCAAATTCCAACAGTACTATTGCCATCTACTTCACTCAGCGCCATTGTGGTGATGGTTAGCACAAGGGGTAGAGACCACGCGACTAAATGAAAGTAAGAGCCTTTTTTATCAATACGGTCCTGAACGTTGCCCACAGCTCGTAGGTGCCAAGTGTACGTAAGAAAGACAAACCAAACCATCGCAGCGGTAAGAAAATAGTATACCAGCACAAAAACGACGATACAGGAAAGATTCTCACCGGCTGTGGGTTCCGAATGACGTAAGGTGCCATCTTTGCGGCACACGATATCTTCGCGCGACCCGGGTGTAAACTGTGCCAACCACCTAGTGAGAAAATTGTATTAAAAAAGTATCTACTATGTTAACCCATGTTTTAGAATTAGCTATTAACAGTTCCGCTTTTTATTTTGTCACTCACCCCAAACATACAATCATGAAGCACAAATTGATGTAGAATACGATCAGTGCTGGATATTTATTTGCATTCTCCCAATCAATTACGAAAGTGGCCACCACAAAAAAGTTTGCGAGACAGCATATTGTACCAAGCCAACTAATTAATTTATGTATTTGCCGATGCTCATCATCGGTGTACAAAGGATCTTTGCATTGCACACCACAACCTTCAATGCCAGGATAGTTGCTACTACTCGATTCTACTGGCACCAGTGGAGCGAGACAGCTACCAGTAGCATTAAATTTCATCTCTTGCACATCGTTCGTACACTTTGGAGGAAATAAAGTTTCATTACAACGTAGAAACTCGGGAAAATATGATGTGTTGTAGAGTATGCGACACGGTTCCCAAGTCTTGCGACACATTTCTACCGAAGGCAGATACACCATGTCCTTGCCATTCATTTGTTCACACTTTGGCATAAACACGGAGCAAAGAAATGGCTAAAACACATTCGTTTTTGTTATTAGTTTTCGTAGTTGTTAATTGCAAATTATATTAACGTACCTGTATGACTGCCCAGCATTTCGGTACATTTCTCAGGGCGCGATAGCTGTGTAAGTGCTTCAACATTTGCTCCTGATTCCGGTAGTCAGTGAGATCAAGGCTAGTGAAGTTATACGGAATTTTAGCACCCAAACAAGTGCTGTTGACAAGCTTTTCGCAGCGTCCATGTCGCACACACTGTGTGTGCTGCATATCCAAACCGCGCCCATCGAACCAAGGTTTATTGTCTCGATTCGTTTTTCCATTTATACGATAATTTATTGTACCATTTATGGGCTTCAAATCAGTTTGTATGGCCAAAGTGGTGGTGGTGAATGTGGCAGAGAGGGCGTTAGCGTTCCTAGAGGAAACATCGGCCAGAGTGTTGGCTAGCCGAAAATATATGCATAAAATCAAATAGCAAGCGAATCTTCGTGGAAAACATCTGCCAAAGCTGCAGAAGAAATCGGAATTCCTAGAATTATGGCAAATGAGTACAGACAAATGATCTCTGGGCAAATCATAATACATTTACATCGCTGCTGGCTGAACGCGGAAAAGATCGTTGGCACAATAAATAATAGATATTTCAGAACAACATTTTTGTGTAAATTATATTTTAAACGTGCACTTAATATTAATTAAAACACAAATTCGAAGAAAAACAAAAAATGTAACTGCGGAAATAATCGCTAAAGAAATAAATGACAAGCGGTGTAGCAGCAGCAGGGCTGCCAATTTCGCTCAAACCGTGCCATTCTTGGGCCGATGGCGAATTTATACAAGGTGGTCAAGGCGAATTTATACAAGGTGGTGTTGATGGCGAATTAAATTTTCGCCTAGCTACTACTGAATGTCAAAATGATGTGTTTGTTGTAAACAAGGCGAATTCATTTTACAACAAACACATCATTTTGACATTAAGACGTACCTCGGCGAAAATCTAAATTCTCCATCAACACCACCTTGTATAAATTCGCCTTACAGATGGTGTTACTGGCGGATTTAGATTTTCGCCGCGGTGCTTCCTAATGTCAAAATGATGTGAATTCGCCCTCTTTACAACAAACAAAATATTTTGACCGAGGCGAATATATACAAGGTGGTGTTACTGGTGAGTTAGATTTTCGCCGCGGTGCTTCGCAATGTCAAAATAGTGTGATTTATTTTGTGTTTGTTGTATTATCAATTCGCCTTGTTTGCAACAAACACATCGTTTTGACATTAATAAGTACGGCGGCGAAAATGTAAATTCGCCAGTAACACCACATTGTATAAATTGACCTTGATTTTGTCATTAGGAAGAACCGCGGCGAAAACCTAATTTGGCCATTAAAACCATGTTGTATAAATTCGCCTTGCTTAGGCCTATTTTACTTCAATTGGCACTTAATTTTCCAATTTGGCACAAAGTGTTAAAATGGCACGTTTCAAATATAGAAAGATTTCAACACACTTTTATGAAATCCTTTGCGTGTACTTCTTTTTCTCAACCAAAATCTTCTAATTTCTATAGTGTATGCGACTGGTTTATCTTACTTTGGCATTGGACTTTTGTTTTCGGAATTTGTTTCTAATATTAATGCTAAATGCGACGAATTAAAAAGAATGGCACCGTTTTTGGTACTTTTATTCAATTTGGTGCATTTTGGCATTTTTTTATCCTCAATATGGCACTTTATAGCCAAGTAGAGTTGACAGTCCTGAACATCGGTCGGAGTTGCCATATTATTGATAAAAAAATGAAGTGAAAATAGCAAAATATGCGATTTAATATGAAATATCGTGTGGACTTTTTGAACAGTAATAGAATCTTATACTCATAAAAATACATTACATTAGTTGCGTTCCCTAACTCGCAAGAAGTTGCAAGAATTTACAGGAATTTACCAGAAAACGTTCCCGTACTCGGTTCTCTGGCTTCTTTTGCTTTTTGACAGTTTTACAGGTTTTAACACAGAAAAGTTGGGCAACGCAACTATTATTTATGACGCATGTAATGTATTACTACCCAGTGAGAAAATGTAAGGGTTGACTTTAGTGTACATCGACATGTGTGTGTTTTAGCAAAACTATAATGAATTTTCTCATGAAACTTTACGAGGATGCTAAGAAACCGATATTTTTACATAAATTAGGAAATTTGTTGTTCAAATTTTTTGCACTTCCATTAACATATTTTCATATAAAAAGTGCAGCCAAAGAACGTCAACTTATATTTCATAATGACCTCCACAGCATAAGGGTAGGTTTGAATATGCGCTTTTTAAATAACAACCTCTAAAAAAATTTCAATTATGGAAATCTTTTTTTAACAAAAATGTTTGTTTTTCTTTGGAAATACATAATAACAATCCATATTTTTTGCAGTTTTTAATAAACAGTATTAAAAAAGCAAATATTTACGCCTGCGTCGATATTTTTTATAATATAAAATAATTAATAAAAGGAAAATTTGGAATAAAAAATCCCGCAATTTTTAATTAAAAATTTTCGGCTGTGGCTCTATTTAAAAAAAAAAAATTAAAAACCTAAAAAAAGGGTAATCAGTAACCATAAAAGACAACATTGGGGCGGCAGCCCCAGGTTTACCACACACCTCATCCTTTCGCAAGGCTACATCGCTGGGGCGGTAGCCCCAGTTGGTGCACACCAAAAGGAGAATTCTATTTGGTTAGGGTTATAATCCTAAAGCGCGGCCTACAGAGAAAGGAATTTGACGCAAAAATACTGTGGACGCAAGTAAAAATTTTCATGATAAATCGTCTGGCAGCACCAACTTCGGTGTTCAGTTGCAACCCTCGCATGTTTACTACTTCACTACTTTTATAAATGTTTTATCGTGGTTAAATTAACAAAAAAAAGCATGCTACTCAAAAGAAAATGGTCATGTGCATTAAAAGTGCTTACACTTAAGTCACAATTATCTATTTCACGCACTTTTGGATGATAAATTCGTTGCAATTTGCATCAACATATTTGGTGAATTTCCCAACTTTAACAACAAATTACTTAAAAACTATAAGTGGGCGCGGGTTGGGGTCTTCACGTTTAGAATCAAAAAAGAACTAATTTTTTGAATACATTAGGATGCGTATTACATAGTTAGCAGTAATATTATCGAGAACGCATAAGAAATACATTATTTTATTTATCACACATGTATTAATGCATTACTACTTTTCCGACTGGGTAAGTACTCTCCCCACTGGGTTCATTTCAATATCTCTCCCACATCCAAATCCAGTGCTCATGAATTCTATTCGCTAATCATAGGTTCCTATGTACCAACTCATTCATCGGCTTGCCATGCCCACAATTGTTTGTGTTTGTTTGCGGCGACGGTCATCTTAACTGTGATTTAGTTCATTTACCGATTCAGTGACTGCAACAGAGCGGCCCGCTGGTCGAAGAGCACCTCAATGCAATGCATTACTTACGGCCTAACATGCCTCTAATTGAGGCTTAGTAGCCGACGCATCGATTAGGGCAACCGCTTTCTCTGGCAGAGGGTTGTTCGCCGTGCCAAATGTTGGTAGTAGGTGGAGAACGGCGTTTACATAGCTGGGTTGGCGATTGGGGTCAACTATGAGGTGCATATTGCGTAGCGAACTGTTTACTGTCCGAAGAGTGCGTACGTTTGAATGTCGATAGGAGAAGGTCGCATAATTGCATACACAAGCTCAGTGGATGTAACGGGGCGCAACGTAAATACATACATACATATGTCTTGCATTTCGAAAGCACATGTATGCCTTGGAAATCAATTAGTGCATTAATTTCAAAGCCGCTTAGCATACCAAAAAATGAGAGAGAAGGTACAGATTAGATGATAATCGCATTGAAAATTAACTTGGAAATGTGCTTAGGTGAAACAGCTTATCTTGAGCTATCAAACGACAACTGAATAAGCGGCAATTAAATGCCTCATTTGATGCGTACTCCATTTTATAGATAGATTTGGAGGTGCAATGCAAATAAATGTTATTGAAGATACATACATATATTCGTAGATATAATAAAATGGAGTTTTGCAAATTTTGAAGCTCAAGCAAATTATTTTTGCAGTAAGGATAATTAGCAGTACGCGCTGGTCAAAATGGTCACAAAAAAATGTAGAAAAAAGGTTTTTTTTCTTAACAGCGGTCGCACCTCGGCAGGCAATGGCAAACCTCCGACTGTATTTCTGCCATGAAAAATAGCTTCTCGTAAAAATACAAACGGCGTTCGAAGTCGGTGTAAAACTGTAGGTCCCTCCTCTTTGTATGGTATGACCACATCAAGGCGCACAATCGGAGGAGAAGCGCGGCCAAACAATAACATAAGCGTGTAAGCGCCAATCTATTATTATTAGAGATGTCTTTCGAATCCTTCTATAAAAGATTTTCATTTTCGGTTCAAATAATTTGGTTATGATGACAGAATAAGAATCTGGAGAAAAATTAGATGGGGGAGAAATTTTGGGTTAACCTTATCCAAGCACACCGTCGCTATGGGTTTTTGTATTTAGACAACGGTTTTTTAAGGATAAAAATAAAAAATGAGCAGATCGAATTTCTCATTATTATCATCCAATCGATCTTTTTTAGCGTCATTTTAGCTCACGTTTTTTTTTTTTTGGCTCCCGCTGACCGTGTACTACCACACTCTGAACGCCTAAAAAGTCGACCCAGATATATTACCTACTTTAACTTCTTGGAGAGTGCTCTTGAGTGATCCTATACGAGTGCAAGTACATAAATCAGTTGGCCTCAAGTGTTTTTAAATTAAAGCTTTCTAGGTTTGATATCCTTTGAGATATCATTTATAATTAGCCTGTTCCCGTACTCCAGGATTTGCAGGATTTGCGTTTTTGAAGGAACTGGTATTTTCACCTTTAATAAACCTTATATAAACGTGGCATACGGAAATTACTTTGGACTAGATCCTACAAGACCGGCAAATCCAGACGTTCTGGAACTCACTAAATATGAGATCTATTTTTTTTTTACATTTACAAAAATGTATAGTATATATATGTATAGCTGTTTTGAATGATGGTAATTACTCCCACGCCTGATTGGCTGCCAAATACAAAGCAAATAGCGTCTGTACGTTCAGTATGTAATCCACTTGTGTTTCAGCGGGCCCCTCCACCTCGAAATGCTGGCACAACGTGCGCACATAATGCGCAATATCTCCATCTTCCAGGCAACGCTGATAAGCTTGTTGCACAGCACCACTTGCATCGGCATATGAGCGCGGCCAGTTGAGCAACAACGGCTCGATCTCCTTCCGCGGCTGTACATCGTTCACCATTTGTGTCATATGCAACTTCTCAACCTCGTTGATCCACTTGTCGAGATCTTTGGGCGATTTAGCTGTCGGAATCAGAGAAGCTGACGTGGTGCGCGCCTTAGCAACGCTTCCACTGAGCACCGAGCGCAATTTCATATTGAGCAAACTCGGTTCCGATTGATCACCCGAGGGCTCGTCGAGCACATAAAGACCCATTTTATACAAGAAATCATTGATTTCCTGCTTACGTTGGGGTTTCAGCAGTGGTGGTGTAGTGACTTTGAGAAAAGCATCCACGTCGCCCACCGATGGCACAAAGTCCGGTATGAATGGTTGCAGGCGATAAGGCGTGTCAATACACTGTGGCGTATATTTTAGTATATTCGGAAAGAGATCTTTTAGTTCTTGATGCACAGTTAATTTATCCCATTGCTCTGGCTTGATGGAAAGTTGCACCTCTGGCGCAGATACGCGTGTGGCGTCACCTGTCCCTTCCATGGCCTCGAGATGCGGTTGCGGCGACACGGCCTCATCGGATTCACTTTCGGATGGCACAATCAGAGGTCCAGCGCGCGCTGGTGGTTTTGCTGCTGATAGAGACTTCGCTGCGCTGCGTATGCTGCCTGGGCGTGTCTGTGGGCGTTGATTGGCTGTGCCACCGGCTGCTGCTTCGTTGGTGAGCTGTGCGTGTTGCATTTCGCTTACATCATCGTCGTCATCGTCGTCATCATCCTCGTCGTCGTGATCAATAATGTCCTGCAACAGGCCATCATCGTCAGTGGAACTGCCGTGCAACTGGAATAAGGAAGGTTAAAAAAATCCATTTTATCAGATGATAAGCAAATGGAAGTGTAAAAAAGCTTATCACATTTCTTTGACGCAGAGTAGCAGCACGACTACTGGATGCGGCAGTTAAGCGTTGTGAATTTGCCGTGCCAATATTGCGACCGCTGCTGGTGCTTGGCATTCGATCCATTCTAAAGTGATTTAGGTTCTTCGTGTCGGCTCCGTTTATAGTGATTTCTTCGTCGTAATAATTCATTTCGCGATAACTATGTGAACTATGTGAACAGTTGGGACAGCTATTGAACTGCTGACCCCAGTTATTATGCGTGCGATGAGGGCAAAGCTGCTTCCAATAACTTGTCAACTACTGGACTTGAGCTATTTATTTTCCTGTAATTTTTGCTATTTAGAAATCTCACGCTGCTGCACTTTTTGGTGGCTTTGGGTCTGTTTACCTGTTTGTTTGCACCGGTTAAGAATGCATGGTTGTCCAGGCAACTCGATGTGTGTACATATGTATGTATGTATGCATTGATACGTTACTTAATGCATACATATGTGTGCGTGTGATTTAATGGAAAGGCAGCACATCCGCTTAGATTGTCGTATATCCGTTTTCGCAAACAGCAGCTGGCAATGCTGTACACTTCGAAACCCACGCTGTTGCCAGATGGTTGAAATGTTTTGTTTTGCAAAGAGCGTAAACCATAGAACGTAAAGCTATAGAACGTAGATAATTAACGTCACAGAAATAAACGGAGAAAAAATTCTTAAATCATAGTTAGTTGTTCTAGACTTAACTAAACTTACGGTCAGAAATCGCCAACTTAAGGCAGATGCGAAAATACATTTTTTTTTATTTAGTATCTTTTTCAGCCTATCAAAAAAAAATTCATGCAAAAAAAATTGTTTGTCATAAATAATTTTTTTTGGAACTACAGAAGCGAAAATCTGGTAAGCCTCTCACCGCTCTACATTTATGCAAGGCCGCAATCTAAAATCTACATGTTCTCAAGGCACATTAAATATGCCTTGCATATTCTTAAGTTTCTTATGGAAAGTTAAGTTTTTACTAACCACCAACATATAACAGGTTGTTCCTCATATAACAGGTTGTGCGAAAATATTAAGTTAAGTTGAATTACGAAAATTAAGTCTAGACTAACAGAGCGTTTATTTTCAATTTAGCCAGTTTTTCCTTGCTAAAGATTTACGTTCTTTGTCTTACATTTTTTTTAAGTTTGGCTGGCAACACTGCCATCAACTTGTTTTCAACGCTATTCCAATAGCAACGATTGCACAGTGGTTTTATTGTGCTTTGTTGCTTTCGATACGTCGGACGTCGGTTTGTTTGGCTTTATGTGAAGGAAAGCGCTTGTTTTGAATTTCGAGTTGTGTTGTGCAGCGTACGCTAACAAAATTAACTTATCGAGCGGCCATATAACATTTCGCTGTGTTAATAAGATAAGCATATTTTGCCTGTTAGATGCGATCCAACGAGTAAAACTTCCACTTACATATTAGTAGATATTTTTTACTTACAATTAACGCCTATGAGTGTAAATACTATAAATTGGCCACCAGCTAATTTTAATTATTGCTTTTAATCATCCACAAAGTGGCGATTATGAGCATGGAATTACAATATTATTTTTTCCGCGAGTTTTTAAAACAAAATACCGCTATTAAAAGTGTTGGTAATAAAGAAGCAAACAACTAACGAAAATTAAATGCAAATTGCGATATAGTTTTCAGTGCGAGTACTACAACAAAGAATAGTGTTTTTAAAATTAATTGAAATATTTAAAAGGCAGACGGTGTCGCTCCAAAGTAAAATTGTTCTTCAACTTAATTAGACGAAGTGAACGAATTGCTGCCATCCGAAACGCGCCACGTCTGCGACAACACTTTGACTAATAGTGATTTAGCAGGCAGCAAAAACATATGCATTTGTTGTTTTTGTGAAGGTGTTGTAGGTGAGCGAACTTTTTACAGCAGCCACCCCAAAGGATTATTTTTACCAGGACGTTGGCGTTGAGCGTTGGCGTTGTTGTATTGAATAGAAAATTGCAGGCGAAGACAGACAGACACACCGGCATTTGCAAGTTTCATTGACAAAAGCAACAAAAGCAACAAAGTGTGAAAAGTGCAAAGGCAAAAGCAAACACAAAAGGTGGGTAAATCAAAAGCACAACGACATCCTTCGTGTTACCAAACAAAAAAGTATTTTTATATGTATGTAGTTTTTGAATGGATTTATATACATACATACATATGTACATAAGTACATATCGTCGTTTAAAGTACAAAACCGCGTAACTGACATTTGCTGCCAAAAATTGGATTTGCTCACACAAGCTCTTGGCTCAATCCTTATCCATTCGTTCTGAAATATAACTAGCCAGAAATGCGATTGCTTTATAAAAAATAGAACCATTTTGAAATATGAGTGTTTTTACTCTCTAGAAAATAATTTATGTAACCGCACTTACGCGGTTTTGCATTTTGTTGATACGCGGTTTTGTACTTTAAACGACCATATATATTTCTGTGTATGTGTTTACTAGTGTACATACATATGTATGTGTGCAAAGGAAACGGATTACTATACCCAACTCAATTTATGAAAATAGGACAGGGCGTGGAAGTGATAAGAAAAAGTGTTAAGGGGAGCAATGACATGCAAATCCCGTTTACTGGGCAGCAGTTCAAATTTGAAGTTAATAAATGTGTTGCGGCATTGGGAGTGACCAACAGCCAAGGGTTAACAAACTAAAAGTTTTCTAACTTTTGATTACATTGTGTTACATATCTTGTTTCAGCCGCCAAAATTGCTTTTGTCACTTTACTGCGGTTTGTTAATGTCGAATAATTCAACAAATGCTAAACCCATTTAAATGAAACCGGGGTGGCAAATGTAAAAATGCATTGTTTAGAAAAGGATAAAGGTTCTCGTTTATATCCAATGAAAGGAGAATTTGCCAAGTCCCAAAGAAGCTACGAAAATTCGATAGGGCCAAAATATTACGAAATCTTTATTAAATTATAAAAAGCCACGAATTTACCTTTGCTAAAAAAATGTATTAAAAAGTATGCGGATATTTTTGTGTGTGTTTATTTTCAAATGTACGTGGGCAATAGTTTTCACCGGTTGATCTACAATTGAACTTGCAGTAATACCTTCGAAGCCCTTATCACGAATTTAAGGAAAAACAGCTTCGGTTGTGTGAAACGATTTGTATGGGTACCCTCTTTTTCTTTTTCTTCTAAAATGGGGCTGTAATCGCCTAAGCGATTTTGGCCGAGTCCAGCTAGACTCGTCAGTCGTTTCTCTTCTGTGCCAACTGGCGCTAATTGGAAATGCCAAATCCTCTTCACCTGGTCTTTCATCGGTTACCAGCATCGCGACACGCCAATGGACCCAACAATTCTATAATTATTTTGGGCATTCTAAGAGAGTTTGTAATGTATCTGTTACATTGTGCTATAAAGAGTTGTATCCTTGAATATCGTTGATAATTTTCAGTATTTATTCTTGAAAAATTATATGTATACTAAAGACTAATACTATATACACAATGACATCCTCAAATTTCGTCCTCCGAACTTTATTAGCCTGAAAACTAAAATTAATCAAAAAGACCTTTTCAATACCTTAATGTCCTTGTAAACCAAACAAATTTATTTTTACTCTTTCGCGTGGTACCCATTGTGCTATTCTACATTCTACTGAATTTTTTAAATAATTTTGTGAAATAACCACCTCATTGACATTTCACAGTGCTTTTAAAATAAATTCCATCGTCAGTGGGAAAAACTAAAAGCGAAGTTTTAGATACTATATTTGGCCTTTAATTTTATAAGAATATTGATGTTTTGGTTTTTGTCGCACGGTGTTATGCAATATTTTTTTTTTGTATTTCTTCTTCTTATTTCGCACTACACTGTTTGTCAGTGGGGGTCGAGAACATAAAACTTCGCCAATTGTCTCTCTGCTTTGCAAAGTTGCGCCAATTGTGGATTCCGAGTGAAGATATGTATGTCCTCAGCACTTGGTCTATCCTTTGGATTCCTTGATCGAAGATGCATTTCACCAGAGCATTAACATCCATGCATACGACATGTCCAAGCCAGCGTATACGGTGTGTTTTTATGTCTTTAATTACGTATGTACATACAGTGACTCAAACAAATGATCACGTGTTGATTTCTTCAAATATTCGTAATGTTTTTCGAGCAAAATTTTTTTTGTATTTTTGTATAAAAATATCGTCTAAGCTTTAACGAAAACCAAGAAAAAATTCTCAAAAATCAACCCGATTTTTTAGCCGTTTGAAACTTGTACTTCATTAGATTGGCTATGGGCTATAAAACTGCATACCCAAAAATTTTCTAAAAATTCAGAATAAAACGTTGAAATTTTGGAGAAAATTTGTTGAATTTTCTTAAATTTTGTATAAAGTCTGAAACTGTGATTTACCCGGTTTTGGTTAAAGCTTCGACGATATTTTTATATAAAAATAACAAAATTTAGCTGGAAAAATATTACGAATATTAAAAAAAAAACACGTGATCGTTTGCAGCGTTGCCAGGTTGACGTTTCTAACGTCATTTGGACGTTTTTTGTATCCTATTGACGTTTGGACGTTTTTTGTGTAGAAAATGACGTTTTTTAACTTCCCAGTAATTTTTCTCTGTTACTAAATCTTGTAAGTAGAACTGATTTTGAATTATTTTCTTAATAAATCTTTACAAGCTTTGTGTTTTGCAGCAGCTGCTTCAAAACATATTTATTCTTTGGATACAAATGACTTAAATATGATGCATACCAAGCGCATGTGCATTTTTTTGGGTTCTTGGACTAAGGATCTCGTGTTCAAAGGCTGGTTGTGTAAACACTTGAGGTTACGAGGCTTATTGTAATGTTTGCAAAGTCAAATCAGGAAGAGCTGATCTCTTGCAACATGCACGCTCGCAAAAGCATCAAATAAGCTGTAGCAGCATAAAAAGTCAGAAAAAAGTAGGCGACTTTTTTAAGACTTTATTGAAAGTGTAATGAACGCAAAAAAGGCTGAAATATTGCTATGCTCCTTCTTAGCAGAGCATAATTTAGCATTTTCGACAACCAACCCCCTAACCAAATGTCTACAAGAAAAAAAATTATTAAAAATCAACGCGATTATTTAGCCGCTTTAAACTTGCACATTATTGCCCTGAAATTTTATGGGCTATCAAACTGCATACTTGAAAAAATTCTAAAAATTCTAAAATTTTTTTATAATTTTTGCACAAAGTTTGAAATGTGGATTTATATTTTGTTTGTTATATAATGAGCTTGGCTTTTATGGAAAAATAATAAACATTAAACGAACAAAAGA